TGAAACCCTTTGTATCAATCTAAATACTAGCAACAACCTCATCCAGTGGCACATTTGGTTTAATCTGTGATTTGACTATTTATCCAGAATGTCCCTAAAAGGACTATCTATACTATCTCCTAATACTGAAACAATATTTTTTTCTTTTGTATTGCTTTCCTCTAAACACCACCATTTCATTTTTCAACTCCCTCAGCTTCAGTTCATAATATTCCCTGAAAGCTTCCAGTGTCTCAATAGTAATTTACATATGCTCTCTCGTCTCCTTTAAATTTCTAAAATCTTCCTGCAGCTTAATGCTTCTCTGTTTTCCTTGATTTACCAATTCCTCCAGTTCCCTATTAATTTGAGAACTGCCAATAAAGATCGATCGATAACTGACCCAATACAACAGTTGTGTAGCACGACACTCGGATGTAGAAAGGTTCGAGCATGAAACGCAGTACCTTTCCCTACAAAAATCGCATATTATCTTAAATTTCACTCTTTCAGGTGTCAGTTTCTTCTAACATCTTGAGCAATCCATCCTCGTAGATTTATGAAAAGAAGAGGAAAAGATAAACCTTTCCAGGTTTTTTTTACACAGTCAACAAGTCAAAATTTGTTATGAATGTACGTGAAAATGACACCAGCGAAGGTTTCCTTTTACTTTTACTCACTACAACCACACGAACCCGATCTGGGTTAATCTAAATAGAAGCCAGTTGTATGTAATTATGTAGTTTTGTCGAAATTCGTGTTGTAATTACGCCTTACATTTGAATTTAAAAAAGACAAATTAACAAGCACATATAACGGTTTCATTTTTCTTTTCATATAAAAGGCTCAAGGCAAATCAAATTACAAAGAGTCATGCTAGGCTGATTGAGCTAAATTAGGGAAATTGACACCGATATGCTCAATAACTGTAATATTATTCTCGCAAAAATATCTGCCTACGTCATTATTATTGGGTTTATCGACTGATGCCCAAACCGGTCAATGCAGTTTAAGATGTTGTACCATCAACTTGTATTATTGTGTTGCTTAGTGGTTTTAATAAAATCGTGTAAATTTATTAAAAATATTAAAGTCACTATTAAAGATGTTAGTGGTTGTAGTTACAACAAAACAATCAATGAGTGTGCAGAAAGGACTATATTTGAACAAATTAAAGTAAAAGAGTTGTACTTTAAGCAACAAAACCTCAGTACTTTAGGTAAAGACTCTGTAAAAAATTTGATTCATTTAAAAACGCTGGTTTTTTGGGGCAATAGCATAGACAACATATTACCAGGGGCGTTTAGGAATTTACCAAACCTAAAAAACTTACAGCTGTCTCATGACAATCTCAAAGAAATCCCCAAAAATATTTTCAACAAATTGGCTTCATTAGAATCATTAAAACTCCACAATAACCAAATCAATATAATCGAAACTCAAGCATTTGCCAACCTAACATCATTAAAACGTTTAATTATAAACAACAATAACCTGGAATATTGGAACAAAGACTGGTTCACCAATACCTCAAGCCTGTTTGAAATGAATTTCCAAAATAACAAAATAAGAACAATACCGAAAAAGGCCTTTGCAAACCTACCAAACCTAAAAAAAATACTTTTGGATTTTAACGAAATCACCCTTATTCAAGCTGACGCCTTCAAGGGTCTCACCAATCTGGATTATTTAGGATTAAAACGCAATCGTTTAGTTGAAATAGACGACAACATATTTCCCAATAGCTTAAACATAAAATCCTTATCACTAGATGCTAATTATTTAAACTTTTTAACTGATAAACTATTGAAGAAGTTGTATGTGGAAGACATTAGTTTGGATAATAATCCTTGGAAATGCCCGTGCCTGGACAAAATTAAAAGCTGGATACGCTTGGGAAATGGAACTTTGAGCAGCTCAAAATCGTGCGCAAGCGGAAACGTGCCAGTTTGCGCCTTTGCTCAAACCTGCTCGGAGCAAGTAGACAATGGATTGACTGAAGCGTATCTCAGGGCTTTGAAAAAGCTTAAGTTGCCGAAATTTTGTGCACGTTTAAATTAGGTTCAATAAAAGAGTTGTTTTTGAATTTGTTGTGTTTTGTTTAGAAAAAACTGGTAATTGAGGCTCAATCTATGGAATCTCAAAATTTCATGGCTATGTCCATAATGTTTGGATAGGTTTTAGGTAAGGTTTAGGTTTCTTGTGAGTGATCAGAAGTTGGCCCACTGCGGTCTATTGTGGCTTACTCCGAGTTTATATTTCCCCCTTCTTATAAAAGTGGAGATAAGTGTGGGGGAAGCATGCTTGATTCTGGCTATTATCGGATATGTGCATAGGACATGTTTTGCAGTTTCGTCTTTTTCCATGCATAGGTGACATTTGGCACTTTGTGCATATGATGAAGGAGTCTGTAGTGTGCAGTGTACAGACCCACCAGTGCTTCAAAGCTCTTCCTTCCTGTTTCCAGAAGTATGTCTGCCACTTGTTCCCCTTTTGGACAGGGTACAAAGGATTTTGTATGGTTCATGCCTGGTAGCTCCACCTATATTGTTTGGCCTCTGGCTGACCGAAATTCTCAGCCTTGGTTTTTCAGTATATACCCCTGCTCCGACACCATGTTTAGTTTTAGAACCCTCTGTGTACAGGCAGAGATCTGCCCTCAGTAGCTCGGTCCATATAGTTCTCTCTCAGGAATCATTGTTTTGAAGGTGGGTTTTCTTTGGCATTATGTCAGAAGGCATGCCGTATCGATTTATTTCATTCACAAGCATCGTATGTTGATTTGCGCTTCTCCCCTCCAAAATGCTTTTTGAAGCATGGTACAGCCATCTACTCACCAATATATTATTGAACTGTTCAAATAAGACACTCACTTGAAACGTGTGGTTTTTGAACTAATGAGAAAAATTCACAACTGAGTAAATCAGGTTAGTATTGTACTTGAACAACATATTGGTAAATAGATGGCTAGATTCATCCATAAGTTCCGCAACAATCCACTCATTTATACTTGAATAACTTGTTACAATATATTAATAGTTTGGTAAAGTAATATTACTAATTCCTGTAAAAAGGCCAATTGACAAAAAGTGGATAATCTTACAAATTCTGACTTTATGTAATGAGCATAACGCATATTTGAGTGAGTTAGTTAAGTATCGTAATTAAATAACATATTGATAAATAGATGGCTGCGGAACTCGCTGCGCTCGTCCCGCAGAGGTCCACCTATAAGTTCCGCAACAATTACCTTATTCTTCTAAACAGTTCCCATATTTTTATGGACCATTTCTTCGAAAAACTGTATCTTGCATAATGTGCTGCCAAAATTAACCTAAACTAACC